GAGCCCCAGTTAAGGGAAGTTTTTTGACAGAGCTACCTGTTCTGTTTTCTGTGTTGTTGAATGCGGTAGTTCGTCTGTCTGAACTTTAGTAGTCCACCAACTAGACCAACCACATAGCTTTGAGCTTGTTTATCCAGCGCCCAAGTTTAGTTTTCTGTCAACCCCCCCATTCCTTACTAGAGTCATCATTTTGACTGGACTTCCAGGAATTGGAAGGTGACTCCTTCTTCTTTCCTGATGGAGACTGAAATTCTTTACGTAGAGGCCACTATTTGAGGAGCCCCAGTTAAGGGAAGCTTTTGACTGAGCTACCTGTTCTGTTTTTTGTGTTGTTGAAGGCGGTAGTTCGTCTGTATGAACTTTAGTAGTCCCCCAACTAGACCAATCACTTGCCTTGAACTTGTTTGTCCAGCCCCCAAGTTTAATTTTCTGTCAACCCCGCCCATTCCTTACTAGAGTCATCATTTTGACTAGACTTACAGAAATTGGAAGGTGACTCTTTCTTCTTTCCTGATGGAGATTGAAATTCTTTACGTAGAGGCCACTATTTGAGGAGCCCCAGTTAAGGGAAACTTTTGACTGAGCTACCTGTTCCGTTTTTCTGTGTTGTTGAATGCGGTATTTCATCTGTCTGAACTTTAGTTGTCACCCAACTAGAGCAATCACTTGGCCTTGAGCTTGTTTGTCCAGCTTCCAAGTTTAGTTTTCGGTCAACGCCACATTTCTCACTAGTGTCATCATTTTTACTGGACTTCCAGGAATTGGAAGGTGACTCTTTCTTCTTTCCTGATGGAGATTGATATTCTTTACGTAGAGGTAACTATTTGAGGAGCCCCAGTTAAGGGAAGCTTTTGACTGAGCTTATCTGTTCTATTTTCTGTGTTATTGAAGGCGGTAGTTCGTCTGTATGAACTTTAGTAGTCCCCCAATTGGACCAACCACTTGGCTTTGAGCTTGTTTGTCCAGCCCCCAAGTTTTGTTTTCTGTCAACCCCTCATTCCTTACTAAAGTCATCATTTTGACTAGACTTACAGGAATTGGAAGGTGACACTTTCTTCTTTCCTGATGGAGATTGAAATGCTTTACGTAGAGGTCACAATTTTGGGAGCCCCAATTAAGGGAAGCTTTTGACTGAGGTCATCCGTTCTGTTTCCTGTGTTTTTGAAGGCGGTAGTTCATCTGTATGAACTTTAGTAATCCCCCAACTAGACCAACCACTTGGCTTTGAGCTTGTTTGTCCAGCCCCCAAGTTTAGTTTTCTGTCAACCCCCTCATTCCTTACTAGAGTCATCATTTTGACTGGACTTACAGGAATTGGAAGGTGTCTCTTTCTTCTTTCCTGGTGGAGATTGAAATTCTTTACGTAGAGGTCACTATTTGAGGAGCCCCAATTAAGGGAAGCTTTTGACTGAGCTACATGTTCTGTTTTCTGTGTTGTTGAAGGCAGTAGTTCGTCTATCTGAACTTTAGTAGTCGCCCAACTACACCAACCACTTGGCTTTGAGCTTGTTTGTCCAGCCCCCAAGTTTAGTTTTCTGTCAACCCCCCCATTCCTTACTAGAGTCATCATTTTGACTGGACTTCCAGGAATTGGAAGGTGGCTCTTTCTTCTTTCCTGATGGAGATTGAAATTCTTTATGTAGAGGCCACTATTTGAGGAGCCCCAGTTAAGGGAAACTTTTGACTGAGCTACCTGTTCCGTTTTTTTGTGTTGTTGAATGCGGTATTTCGTCTGTCTGAACTTTAGTAGTCCCCCAACTAGACCAACCACTTGGCTTTGAGCTTGTTTGTCCAGCCCCCAAGTTTAGTTTTCTGTCAACCCCCCCATTCCTTACAAGAGTCATCCTTTTGACTGGACTTCCAGGAATTGGAAGGTGACTCTTTTTTCTTTCCTGATAGAGATTGAAATTATTTACGTAGAGGCCACTATTTGAGGAGCCCCAGTTAAGGGAAGCTTTTGACTAAGCTACCTGTTCTGTTTTCTGTGTTGTTGAAGGCGGTAGTTTGTCTGTCTGAACTTTAGTAGTCCCCCAATTGGACCAACCACTTGGCTTTGAGCTTGATTGTCCAGCCCCCAAGTTTAGTTTTCTGTCAACCCCCTCATTCCTTACTACAGTCATCATTTTGACTGGACTTCTAGGAATTGGAAGGTGACTCTTTCATCTGTCCTGATGGAGATTGAAATTCTTTACGTAGAGGTCATTATTTGAGGAGCCCCAGTTAAGGGAAGCTTTTGACAGAGCTACATGTTCTGTTTTCTGTGTTGTTAAAGGAGGTAGTTCGTCTGTTTGAACTTTAGTAGTCCCCCAACTAGACCAACCACATAGCTTTGAGCTTGTTTTTCCAGCCCCCAAGTTTAGTTTTCGGTCAACCCCCCATTCCTTACTGGAGTCATCATTTTGACTGGACTTCCAGGAATTGGAAGGTGGCTCTTTCTTCTTTCCTGATGGAGATTGAAATTCTTTATGTAGAGGCCACTATTTGAGGAGCCCCAGTTAAGGGAAGCTTTCAACTGAGCTACCTGTTCTGTTTTTTGTGTTGTTGAAGGCGGTAGTTCGTCTGTATGAACTTTAGTAGTCTCTCAACTAGACCAACCACTTGCCTTGAGCTTGTTTGTCCAGCCCCCAAGTTTAATTTTCTGTCAACCCCTCCATTCCTTACTAGAGTCATCATTTTGACTAGACTTACAGGAATTTGAAGGTGACTCTTTCTTCTTTCCTGATTGAGATTGAAATTCTTCACGTAGAGGTCACTATTTTGGGAGCCCCAATTGAGGGAAGCTTTTGACTGAGGTTATCTGTTCTGTTTTCTGTGTTGTTGAAGGCGGTAGTTCTTCTGTATGAACTTTAGTGGTCCCCCTACTAGACCAACCACTTGGATTTGAGCTTGTTTGTCCAGCCCCCAAGTTTAGTTTTCTATCAACCCGCTTCATTCCTTACTAGAGTCATCATTTTGACTGGACTTACTGGAATTGGAAGGTGACTCTTTCTTCTTTCATGGTGGAGATTGAAATACTTTACGTAGAGGCCACTATTTGAGGAGCCCCAGTTAAGGGAAGCTTTTGACTTAGCTACCTATTCTGTTTTCTGTGTTGTTGAAGGCGATAGTTCGTCTATCTGAACTTTAGTAGTCCCTCAACTAGACCAACCACTTGGCTTTGAGCTTGTTTGTCCAGCCCCCAAGTTTTGTTTTTGTCAACCCCCCCATTCCTTACTAGAGTCATCATTTTGACTGGACTTCCAGGAATTGGAAGGTGTCTCTTTTTTCTTTCCTGATAGAGATTGAAATTCTTTACGTAAAGGCCACTATTTGAGGAGCCCCAGTTAAGGGAAGCTTTTGACTGAGCTACCTGTTCTGTTTTCTGTGTTGTTGAAGGCGGTAGTTCGTCTGTCTGAACTTTAGTATTCCCCCAATTGGACCAACCACTTGGCTTTGAGCTTGATTGTCCAGCCCCCAAGTTTAGTTTTCTGTCAACCCCCCAGTCCTTGCTAGAGTCATCATTTTGACTGGACTTCTAGGAATTGGAAGGTGACTCTTTCACCTTTCCTGATGGAGATTGAAATTCTTTACGTAGAGGTCACTATTTGAGGAGCCCCAGTTAAGGGAAGCTTTTGACTGAGCTACCTGTTCTGTTTTCTGTGTTGCTGAAGGCGGTAGTTCGTCTGTCTGAACTTTAGTAGTCCCCCAATTGGACCAACCACTTGGCTTTGAGCTTGATTGTCCAGCCCCCAAGTTTAGTTTTCTGTCAACCCCCCTATTCCTTACTAGAGTCATCATTTTGACTGGACTTCTAGGAATTGGAAGGTGACTCTTTTTTCTTTCCTGATGGAGATTGAAATTCTTTATGGAGACGTCACTATTTGAGGAGCCCCAGTTAAGGGAAGCTTTTAACTGAGCTACCTATTCTGTTTTCTGTGTTGTTGAAGGCGGTAGTTCGTCTGTTTGAACTTTAGTAGTCCCCTAACTAGACCAACCACTTGGCTTTGAGCTTGTTTGTCCAGCCCCCAAGTTTAGTTTTCTGTCAACCCCCCAATTCCTTGCTAGTGTCATCATTTTGACAGGACTTCCAGAAATTGAAAGGCGACTCTTTCATCTTTCCTGATGGAGATTGAAATTCTTTAAGAAGAGGTTCACTATTTGAGGAGCCCTAGTTAAGGGAAGCTTTTGATTGAGCTACCCGTTCTGTTTTCTGTGTTGTTGACGGCGGTAGTTCGTCTGTCTGAACTTTATTAGTCCCCCAATTGGACGAACCACTTGTTTTTCGGTAATGTTTGTCGAGCCCCCAAGTTTAGTTTTTTGTCAACCCCCCATTCCTTACCACAGTCATCGTTTTGACTGGACTTCCAGAAATTGAAAGGCGACTCTTTCTTCTTTCCTGATAGAGATTGAAATTCTTTAAGAAGAGGATCACTATTTGAGGAGCCTTAGTTAAGGGAAGTTTTTGACTGAGCTACCTGTCCTGTTTGCTATGTTGTTGAAGGCGGCAATTCGTCTGTCTTAACTTTATTAGTCCCCCAACTAGACCAACCACTTGGCTTTGAGATTGTTTCTCCAGCTAACAAATTTTGTTTTATCTGTCCAAATGCATTTGTTTTCCTCACCCTAACATTTTCCATGTTCTATTGGAATAGATGGTGCATTAAGTTTTGTATCTTTCTAATGTGAACTTGTACAATATACTGTTGTTATGCAATGCAGCATTGTTATGATTTTGTGTTTACTTGGATTCATGATGTTATATTTCTATTTTAATTTCATTTTCTTGGATAATTGGTGGGGATAAATTTTCATGACACTCCTACTGTAAATTTTCAACATTAACGCGGAGTTTATTTTCGAAGCTCAACCCATTAAGAAAAAACAACACACCTGTTCTAACACCAAATAACAGTACAAGAAATAATACTTTTTGTGTCACCTGTAACCTGTGCATATACAAAATTATTCATCCATCCATTCATTCATTCAATTCTCAACCATTCAATAAAATATTTCTCCACAACCTATAGCATTCAATTTTCAACCATATACACAACTTAACTATTAACCGTACATATCAAAGAAAATAAGAATTCAGAAACATAGTATAATCTAACAAATACATATACTATCTGAACCAACAATTACAATTCAAACTACAAAAAAAAGAAACGTAATAACAAAACATATCAGCTGTACATGTTTTCCATAAAGAAAAAATATAATGTAAATTGCGCCCATGCAAACATTATCAATCTGGCCCAAAAGCATCACTGTATCCATGGCAACATAATCAATCTTCAACAAAAACTAGTGAGGTAAGTAATAAAAAATGCAGAGCTTGATTTTTTTTTAAACAGAATGTGGTTCAATTTATTTAACAAGTAATTTAGCTTATGGAGAAGGAAAAAATTAGATAACTAACTAAGTTGAATTTAGATGAATAACACAATGAATATACCAAGTGATATAGCAAGACTATATAAATAAAAATCAGTCAATCATTCCTTTTAGCTTAACATATTGTTATTTCATCTAAAATAGGCAAATTACAATTTATAAGGATATGACACACAATATCAATTATACAGCAACAAAGTGAGTTTATCAATTAGCTTTTTCGCACCCTTAACGCCCTTTTTGCTTTTCCGCACCGTTAACGCCATTTCTCGATTAAGTTTAATGCATTTTCAGCTCTAACTCTCAACCTACTCGTGCTAATTACATTTCGTCTGTTGTCACAGGTCCTATTTGTCACAGGCAATGTAGCTGTGACATCCGTAACGTGGTTCGGGGGCTGTTTCGCAGTTTTGCCCCCTTAACGCCATTTTTCGGTTCAATTTAAGGCATTTTCGGCTCTAACTCCCAACCTACACGTGCTACTTCAATTTCGTCTATTGTCATAGCTCGTATTTATGATGGGAAAGTTGGCTGTGACATCCATATGGTAGTTCGGGGGCTGTTTCGTATTTTTTCTTTCTTCACATCGTTTTTTGGTTAAGTTTAAGGTGTTTTCGGCTCTAACTCCCGACCTACATGTGCTAATTACAATCCGTCTATTGTAACAGGTCCTATTTATGATGGGGAAGGTGGCTGTGACATCCATACGGTAGTTCGGGGGCTGTTTCGTATTTTTGCCCCCTTAAGGCCCTTTTTTCGATTAAGTTTAAGGCGTTTTGGGCTCTAACTCCCAACCTACACGGGCTAATTAAATTTCATCTGCTATCACAGCTCCTATTTATGATGGGGAAGGTGGCCGTGACATTCGAACGGTGGTTCGGGGGCTATTTCGCAGTTTCGCCCACTTAACGCCCTTTTTTCGGTTAAGTTTAAGGCATTTTCGGCTCTAACTCCCAACCTACACGTGCTAATTACAATCCGTCTATTGTCACTAGTCCTATTTATGATGGGGAAGGTAGCCGTGACATCCATACGGTAGTTCGGGGGCTGTTTCGTATTTTCGCCCCCCTTAAGGCCCTTTTTCGGTTAAGGTTAAGGCGTTTTCGGCTCTAACTCCCAACCTACACGGGCTAATTAAATTCCGTCTATTGTCACAGCTCCTATTTATGATGGATAAGGTGGTCGTGACATCCGAACGGTGGTTCGGGGGCTGTTTCGCAGTTTTGCCCTCTTAACGCCCTTTTTCAGTTAAATTTAAGGCGTTTTCGGCTCTAACTCCCAACCTACACGTGCTAATTACAATCTGTCTGTTGTCACAGGTCCTATTAATGATGGGAAAGGTGCCCGTGACAACCATACAGTAGTTCGGGGGCTGTTTCGTATTTTTGCCCCCTTAAGGCCCTTTTTTGGTTAAGTTTAAGGCATTTTCGGCTCTAACTCCCAACCTACACGGGCTAATTAAATTCCATCTGTTGTCACAGCTCCTATTTATGATGGAAAAGGTGACTGTGACATCCGAACGGTGGTTCGGGTTCGGGGGCTGTTTCGCAGTTTCGCCCTCTTAACGCTTTTTTTCGGTTAAGTTTAAAACGTTTTCGGCTCTAACTCCCAACCTACACGTGCTAATTACAATCCGTCTGTTGTCACAGGTCCTATTTATGACGGGGAAGGTGGCCGTGACATCCATACAGTAGTTCGGGGGCTGTTTCGTATTTTCGCTCCCTTAAGGCCCTTTTTCGATTAAGTTTAAGGCGTTTTCGACTCTAACTCCCAACCTGCACGGGCTAATTAAATTCCGTCTATTGTCACAGCTCCTATTTATGATAGGGAAGGTGACCGTGACATCCATACGGTAGTTCGTGGGCTGTTTCATAATTTCGCCCCTTAACGCCCTTTTTCGGTTAAGTTAAAGGCATTTTCGGCAAAGTTAATGCATATGAACAGAATCAGAGCAGACGGGGGCTAAAATCATAACAACTGTTAAGCTCTATTCCTATTCAATCATCTGGACCCGAAATAACTAAGCAAGCACTATAATTTGTGTAAAGTTTATATAATTTATGTTAAGCTCTATAATTTATCTCAAGAAGAAATATAGAAAGGAAATCTTCGTCCAAGGTCTCAAACACTAGGTCAACTATCCTTCTAAAAATTTACTCTATCTGTTTCCCACCCTAAAACTTACAAATCTCGAGAAGTCATCCCAAACTTGATGAATACCCTTCCAAAGTCCTACCCCATGAGGCATTGTCACTTCTTGTAAGTTCCAATCTCCCCCAGTAACTCCCTTATTTAGCCATGACCACATTTATCCAAGTCCAATACTTATCCTTTTTCAAATGAAAATATCCATAAACATTTACCCAAGAGTGTTCTATTAAACATAGCCACCCAAACCTATTCTCCAAACTGGAGCACAAACAATCTCCCAACCAACCCAATGATATTTAATCTCCAAACTCCCCAACATAACCCGAAACAAATCCCAAAACAATTTCTCCTCGGCCAACCTCTATGCCACCTGACAAAGTCCAAAGTACACATTGAATATAAAGCAATGAAAGAACAAAAGCTGAATGAAGAAAAAAAATAAGATTCACTTTATTTAATAATAGAGATGTCTATGTAAACCCATTTGTGATTTTCTTTTGGCTGGTGACACTACGTAGGACAAGGTCACCATTGCACTCATATTTGTTCATGTATGACAGTGTACAATGTTTATGCAACTTAGTATTAAAGTTGGAAACTGTATAACACGTTCCTAAATACATTCGCCTTATCTGAAAGTCATCTCACAAAGTCCAAGAACAGAACAAAGAAATGTTTTGGAGTGTAGTGCAAAAAAACCTAATTAAAAGCATTACTGTATACACTACACACACATATATATATATATAGAGAGAGAGAGAGAGATCTGTTAACTCGAATATTTAAAACTTCATCTGAAAATTAGCATTTCATTAAGGTCAATAACTTTTGTTCTACTCAAACTCATAGGATATCATCTTAATGCATCAAAGAGTAAACCAATGTTCACTATCGTCTACCAGAAATTATGATACACTGGGAATGCAATAAGATCTTAATAGCAGATTTTTCTCTAATAGAATCTACTCAACCAAAGATCGGCATCCAGAATATATATAATTCAATAAATAAACAAGTTAAACTAGAAAGGTCAATTTAAAAGCAGATGTTGTAACTACAATAAAGGAAAAATAAACAAGACAGAAGATTAGACTCACCAACATGTTTTCAGATGTTGGTGTGAGGAAAGAAATCTTCGCTGAATTATAACCTTCCAATCCAAAAATCAGACCATCATACCAACGTCCATCAGTGTGGTGGATTCTACACTTAGATCCAACAGAATAACTTAGATCCGCCAGTGGTTCTGCTTCAACTTGTGTTGGATCAAGGGGCTCCACTTTGACATCATCAGCGACATACTTGGAACTATCTAGAACCGAATCCACCTCTCGTAGCAACCTTGCACGTTTCAACTGAAGGAGCCATTGCTCTGCATCTTTGATAGCCTGAACAAGCTCCTCATAAACCTAAAACAACAAAACATTTAACATTAGCAACTCCAAGGAACCATATATATGTCAAAAGAAATCCCTCTACGTGATTCTGTACAATCTTGTGGTAATTAGTATAATAATTTACTAATAAATTAACAAATAAAACAATCTTGAAAAAATGCTAGCTTTTTCTACATTAAGTACAATTATATCAAACAAGATCAGGAGCAGCATTAAAGGTAATCATGTAGCTTCATTTTCCACCTTACTTTGGAATATGGCATGTCGTTATCTATAAATTAAGCAGGCATGGAGATAGAAAATTAAGTATTCTATGGACTGAAACAAGATAGATTTTCCTTAGGCCATTTTACATATGTAAAATCAAGTATGACATGTTATTTGAAACTGTAGATATAAATGAAAAAATAGTCCGCTCTACCTCATCCAAAAAAAAAAAAAAAAGCAGCAGCACTCTAGCCAGAGATTCAATGGCACTATAGCAGCAATCTTATATATTCATTTCTAAAGCACTGTCTCTGCCCTTATTTCACATGCTTCCCCAAGGTAAGCTAGAGCAGATAAGGAATAGCACAACAGATTAACAGAAAAGAGAGCATATAGGGATGTTCTGATCAATCACATGTCACATTGTATAAACAAGTACACAAACCAACAAACAAACAAACACACATAATGAGAGAGAGAGTATGCAGGGCACATTCCTCCCATTAGATAACCACTTTATATAGGCAAATATTATTTACCATGAACTTTCTTTTCATCATTAAAACAAAGAGTTGTTAGGGCTTGTTGGTTATCATTTTCTATTTTCTATTTCCAGTTTTTGGAAATACATAAAATTTGTTTGGCAAACTGTTTTTTAAACTCCAAAAAAATTGTTTTCAAATTCTTGAATAATGTTTCTGCACAAAATGAAAATGATATTAAAAAAGAATGGATGCTTTCAAACTTTTCATTGTTTTTGTTTCCAAAAACATGAAGAACAAAAATGAACAAAACGAAAACACAACTAAACAAGCCTTGAATTTTACAGTAGAAATGTCCCATTGCTCATTAATTTAAGATACAATCCCCAAAGCAAGGTTTGACCACCAAAAAATAAATTAAAGTTCCCATTAGTTATTTACCAACTATAAATTAAAAGTTCCCGTTAGCTATTTACCAACTATAAATTCCAAGGTTACTGCCAGCTAATAGCTCTAGTGGCATTCCCTGTTCCCAGTTTGAAAAGATGCACAACTCCCGTAAGTCCGCTTGTACGGACAGTGTGAGGGGGAGGTTAGCCTATGAGCTAGGCTATGGAAAAAATCAATCAGCAAAATAATTTACAGAAAGGTTTAATTGGAATCAACCACTAACAATAGCATATCCACACTGATGTCACTACCCAAATCAACCACTATAATTTAATAACTTTTAACCAATGAAATACAAGAGGATATGATATCATATGAATATGTCAACTGGACAAATTCTAAAAAAAGTAAGATCAGATATATTAAAACAGGGCAATATGTGTGTGTGAGTGGATACCATGTATACAACAAGTAATATTAAAATTATATGTGTGAACAAGAACTTGACCAAATTTGACATGCTTTAATCTTTCATTACTATTTTCCAATTCTTCTCCCAAGGTGTATGCTAAATTATTTTCACATTTATCCTACCTACCAGTTGTAGTATATGCAGATGTCACATCTCAATTCCAAGATAGGTTAGATACATGATGTAGAGCATCGAAAAGTATCTGACCATCCTTCAAAATTGAAGAAAATAATTTCAAATTATCAAAATAAAAGATTTAGAGAGTATAAAACACGTCTCTACAAGTACTTGCAGATTGCCAAATCCTTCCTAAGAGTATAGATATTTTGATCACCATTTTTATTGACGCAAGTGTTTAATTTTAAACAAGTCCCAACACTTCTCAACTAAAACCTAAATCTTGAATATTGAAATGTTACATTTCTAGAATAGCAGCGAAGTATAATTACTAAAATGATTCAGAAAATCATAACAAAAAATCAAATGCTATAATTACTACTTCAGAGCTGAGTGGTGAATAGCTTCGGTGTTGTATAGTTCTAAACGAAGAACTATTGAGGGTTTGAATCATTCTTCTTTTTGCCAATTGGAGTCGTTTCTTTATTGGTTTCTCCAAGCATAATTTTTTAATGATGTGTAAAAATTTAGAATATTTAAGATTCATAAAAACAGATTGTTCTTCAAAATAATAATATAAAAAAATACATTCTGACTTTATATGCCCAGAAATATATAAATACGTGTGTAAAACCATGCCATTGGTGTATTCCTATCCTCTTTTAAAAAAAATTTAGTCGTACCATGTCACATCTATCCCATGCCATGTTTCCATAGCTAAGGCATCAAACTAAGTTACTATAGCTCAAGGATCCTAAGCTAAATTACTATAGCTCAAGGATCCTAAACTGACTAAGGAGAGTGGCACTTCTACTAGGTTCTCATCCTTCATCTGTTCTTAAAAAAAACCCAAAAATTGTTATTAAATAATATCCTATATAAAAATCATAATTAATTAAAAAATCACTATTGCACTTGATGCACACAATGTTCAATTACAATTTGCAAGAAAAGGTACAACCTTAAATAAATTTAAAGAACAATTCTTCCCAACAGAATAGTCAATACTTACTGAGCTCAAAAGACGCTAAATGAGTAAGGGCATTAAAAAAACTCAAAAGTCAAAAAAGTATTAGCAAGATAGAAGATTTGCTTCACTTAATTATTTTTGGGAGAGGGTGGGGGTGATAGCTAAGCACACAATGCAAATAGAGTACATATGCAACAAACCAAAACCAAGCCTGATGTCCCATCAAATGGGCCTGCTACATATGCAATAATCCAACTAATTTATGATTGGTCTCTTATCCCCCAATGCCAAAAATTATGGTTGCTCTCTTGAAATTTGAGACATACAGGAAAATGAGTGATAAAAAAACAGATGAAGACCAAACTTATCCCACCACCATGTAGTGAAAAAAATGAAATAACTCATTACACATTTTATTGTGTATATTTTTAGCATAAGGAAGCCAAAAAGAAAAAGAGAGTATGTAAGTCTATACTAAATTATTGTAACTCTTAATCTATGTTACATGGAGTTCCCAAAACAACTCAAATAGCAATGTCAGACGCCCGACTCCTGACACTTAGACAACAGTGTGGATATGTGTAAGGATGGAACATGTCTAGATTATATAGGTTTGTCGTCAAAAATCAATAGTTACCCATGTGAAGAAAATCATTTAGAGTGAACATTTGAAAAATAAAAGTCTAGTATTAGCATCTCCTATTTCTGAACTCAGTATCCACATATCCGTTTACCTACTCAATAGCAGCAACCACGTCAGCAACATACCCTCAAAAAAGCCTGCATAGTGCCTTGTACACAGCAATTCTGAACACATGAACAAAAGGATTTGCTATTGAAACTAGCATTGGGGAAAAGGGTAATGAAAAGTTAGTATCAGATCTTTATCCTCACTTGGCACGGGGAGCCATTCCACTCGCTTTCCCAAATTCATATCCATGCACTCTAACAGGAATCCCATTATTACCAGCAGCAATAGTGTAGACGTCCCCGAACACCCCGGGAGGATGAGTCCCGTTCTGTTTGTCTTTAGGCTCACTACAGTTTGGACTCTAATTGTCACGGTTCTTAATCTGAACCAAAGAGTCCAAATCTAGCAAATCGTTTTGAAAAATAGATTTTTGTAAAGAAGTGCCAAACATGGACTGCTTTGCCAGATACAGAGTCACCACCTAAATATTTTATTTTGGGAGAATTTAGGAAACCCTGACTCGTTTGCCTAAGGCCACATGTCCGTCATCACCAGAGTTGCCTCGACTCGGGAACTTGGGTACGATTGGGGAAGGTCAGCTATGAGCACCCCCTCTCGCCCGATCCGAAGATCAGCCTCTACTAATCATGATATCTTGTTTTGAAAACATTATGTGTTCTTATTCTGGTTTAATTAGCTAGAATTACTATGTGATGCGCACAGCAAAACAAGTATAGACTAGATCGCCTAATTTGGAACAAAGCATCGCATATCCGTTTGTTTGGAAAATGTTTTGAAATTTGCTACTCACGAGTGGGCTAAAACACGGATTTTGATGAGTTGTTCCAACTCAAGTAATCCAACCCTCACCCATAGGTATTCAGGCAGTTCATATCACATAAGCATCTAGCCACATGGTAAGCATGCTGTCATGTTAACATTCACACTCGTGCGAGATGCTAAAGCACAAAATATTTACAGTGTACTCTAAGCCAAAAACAAAGAACTCGTTAGCAATCAATGTATGATCCAAGTCCATGTTAAGTGCCTAATGCAACGCATACAGAATGCAATTAGGATAGGCTCGGCTAATCCTAGGATGGCATGTGAAATGCAACCATTTGATGCACATATTCAAGTTTAGATTTGAAATATCATGCAGTTAGTATGATGCGCCGAGCCCGATGCATGCAATACTGATGAATGATGCACGCATGCATAGCATAAGGATGCTAAATTAAATATGTCCTAGTACTAACCATCAAAGCAGGTAAGTAAAAGGGAGAAAGAAGTGGGGGTTGGAAGACATGCACACACGCACCCACACTTATTACAAATTTGCCCTCGCTCAGAGGGACCAAAAGAATAATACAGATTTAACTAACCTACAAGCTAATTAAATATTACAGACCAATTAAACTAGTTAAGCAAATTAACTAATCTAATAAAACAATAAACAGCCTCGGGAAGAGGGCCCAGTGCAATGCGTGCTCGGCTCCGCTCGGAAGTCCACTGCCATGCACAGGTTGCCTCTGTCCACACTATTTTCCTTCTCTGATCATTGCAAAATTCCCAAGGTGCACTCTATGAACCCAGTGGGATACCACCGGCCAAGGGAAATGGTCACCGGCCAAAGTAAATGATCACCGGCCACTGGTTAAGCTACGGCCACCAATTGTTGGTCGGTCGGCACTAAAAATGGTCGGCTGGCCAAATCTTCCTGCAGAATCTTGTTTTGACAGCAGCAGAGGGCAAAACAAGGCATGGCAATGCATTCTAAGCAAATGTGTGCACCAACACATCCCTTATCATGTTTATGACTCAAAGGGACATGGTTCTCGGTTCTCAGACCACCAATCGCGCATTTCGTTGCATGAGGGCACAAGAAACCAAGTTATGCACTTTGATTTCAAATGAAATGTACATAAACAAGCAAGGAGCTCAACCTCTATCATACTCAATTCAAGAGGCTAAGCATGCACGTCAATGCAATGCAACCTAGACATATGAGCTAGTATGCAACATGAACAATGCGAACAAGCATTCAAGGCATGTGACAAACATGCGTGCACACAAAGACCAACACTTAGGCATATAAAAACAACTCTCAAGCACACTTAAGAGGATGCATACATGGACAAATGGCATGCATTATAAGCTCTGAAAATCATGTTAGAGAAGGTGCCAAACCAATCTACAATGCAAGCTAGGCATGCCACCAAGCCCAAGGACTTAAACCATGGCCATATGACATATGAAGCAAATGACCAAAATGAACTAAAACAGTCCTAAATCATGCAAAAGTAAGCCCCAAAAACCACTTAGATGGCATCTAAATGATCTAATCCTAGAGGCATACA